GTTAGTTTCAGATTCAGAACAATAGAAAGTTCTTCCTTCTTGCACTTTTCAAAAGGGCAGTTGACCAACTTGTAAATTAAAAAAATCCCCAAAGTAGTATTCTTTTAGGCTTAATTGGATTTCCTTTTGAATTTTAAAATCTTTGAAGGATCTTTTCAAGGGGATGTAGAATTATAATAGTTGCAGTAATTTTCATTAGCAACTAGAAATTTGCCATTGGTTTAAGACTATATTGATAATATTTGTAGTCATGGCTGATAGAGCTAATTTGTCAAAACTCCTTAAATTTTGCTTTCTTTGCATCTAGGAAAGAGAGTAAAGATAATTGATAAACGTAATTGATAAGTTGTCTGCATGAAAGATTTAAATAACAAAAAAGCAAGTAAGATGGGTATACCTATAACCTCAGCACCCAGGTAGAGTCAAGAAGCCAACAGTTCAGGGCTAGCCTCAAATACATAGTGAGTTTGAGGCAAGTCTGGGCTATATGTGATCCTATCTCAAACAAAAAGCAAAACAAAAATGGTAAATGAAATAGAGATAAAATATAAGCACCTCTCCAAGGCCAAGAGAGGGTTAAATTCTTTAATTAAAAACCAGAAAGTGATGATTTTCAAGGTAGTTAAAAGTGATTTAATAAAGAAATGGGCACCTGAAAGAACAGAATTAATGGACAAGGAATTAAGTGGTTAAACACATTTTTCATGCTACTAAGTAAAAGGAATTGATTTTGCATATCAACTGATAAAATTACGACAGAACTTAAAAGCTGGTGCTAGAGCTGTTTTTCAAGGTTGAAGTGCTTGTCTAGTATGCCAGAGGCCCTGGATGTAATCCCAAACACTCCTAGAAAACCACAAAAATCAAGGCGTTAATCTTGTGTGCTGTGGGGCTATGACAGGACTGAGTGATGATCATGCTTCATTCTCAATGAGACAGTTACAATTTTATCTACCAAGACTCAAACCCAGAATAAAGTTCAAAGGGACGTTGGCTCAGGGATTGAACGTACCATGTTTCTCACAAGTCAGCCAGAGAAGTATGAAAACCCATGGTAGCATGGTCATTGAGCAGAAAGTCAGGCACGTCTCCATAGGAAGCTGATTGGTTATTTAACATTATTTGACATTAGAGTATTAACTAGTCTAAAAAAAACCCAAAAAACCCAAACAAACAAACAAAAATCCTAAGATCCCTCAATGTTGATATGAAAAATTGTCTCTGGAAGCATTAGTTATATTTATGTAATATGCTTATACATGTATGTTTAAGTGAATTAAGAAACCTATGGTCACTTACCCATTGGGACAATGATCGTGTTCCAGTTTACTTTTGAAATTTCATACCCATTTCTGTATTTACTTTGATAATATCAACTATCGACTTGTTTTATTTCTTCTTCATAACTTTGTTTTAAAAAGCTAGCCACCTTGTGCCATATTTCTTTTCCTTTTTCTCCTTTTTTTGGGGGAGGGGAGGTCACAAGGGTGAGAGTAGACCTAGGAGGAATAGAAAGTGAGTGTGATCGGAGTTCATGATGTGAAAATCCCAAATAATCAATAAAAATATTATGAAAAATAAAAAAGTTGCCTTTTCTTAGTTGCGTGTTAAATATGAGGTACATTTTATGTTGCATATTTATATCTATACATAAATAAAGAATTTTACCCAACTTTCCTACATGCAGTAAGTTGTTCTATTGATATATACATTGGCCAGAATGGTGCTATGAATTGCAGGCTCTTACATGTTCTTTTGGTTGCCATTTTTAATTGCAAGTATCAGCAAGCATTAGTGTCCATTAGAACATACTATTAGTAACTGGTACACATTAACAGCTTCATGGTGACTTTTCCATACATAAGCCTCTCTCACTTCGGTCAGGTTCACAGTCCTGGAGGCTCCTGCCTGTGCTCTGGATCTTTCTCTCTCTATTAGCTGTAAGTGCTTCAGCCTGAGGCTCGCCTATACAGCTCTTTTTCTCTTTTTCCGAGCTATTGAGTTACAGAAGGCTGCCAGAAGCTTTTTGTCATTTGCCTCCCAGCTCAAGAAACACTTCCTTAAAATCTATTTCAAAGGGTGATTTCATTTCTGTAATTACACCGGGGATTCAGATGCTCATACACCTGTATTTTTCTTGCTGGTTTCAGGGAGTGAACTCACCTAGTTACACTGAGATTTGCTCTCTGCATGTCACTGACCAGCATACAGTAGGAGGGAGATGGTAATGGCAGGTTGAAAAACAAAGAAGCCAAAGAGATCAGAAGTTCACTTCAGTTCAAGCATTAGAACTTAGAATCTGAAGCCGAAGGAAATGGTCTTCAGTGTCTGACTGAAGACTTCAACTTGCTGAGTTTTAGGCAGTTTTTGGTATGAATTTATCCACTGTCTTATCCATGTCATATATTTGAAAGGTGAGATGGACTGAAATCAACAAAGATTATTATAATAACATTGGCTTAAAGGTTGTATCTCTTTCTCATGTCAATTCCTAATTCTATTGTCAGTTCATTCCCTTCAGTTTTAAAAATTCAAGGGTAAGGTTGTATATGGCTTAGGTAACAATTTGCCTAGCAAGTAATGAGGTCCTGGGTTCAAGTCCTGGCTCTCAAAAGATAGTTCAGGCTTTCATATTCCTGAAATAGTCTGGGCAGTTTTTTAGAGTATCAAAAGAGTTGACTATAGTAATCTTAGGTTGAGGAGTTTATTCCAGTTTACCCAAAGCAATTCAAAGGACAAGTTATTTTAATATAAAAAATATTGACGTTTAGAAGCATGGGTCTGTGGCCTGTGTGTATTCACTTAGGTGAGTACTGTATAATGAACAAGATGAGAGTGGGATTCTCTGATGGGGCCAGGGAAGGTAGCCCTACTACTTCCTGAAGGAATGTTGATAACATGAGAAAAATGAACAGTTGATTTGATTTGCTGGAGCACAGGGAACAAGGATGAAGTTTTTAGTTCTTTAACTTCTTTAATGACAGTTCTGAAATTAAAAAAAAATATATTGGAGATGAAAAGGAACAGAATCCAGGACAGGTAAGAAAGATGGTAAGAAAGAAGGATCTGTCACTGTCCTTGTGGAGCTCCTGTCTTCTCCAGGTCTTACTATCTCCCCCTTCTTTCATAAGATTCCCTGTACTCCGCCCAAAGTTTGGCTATGAGTCTCAACATCTGCCTCGATACCCTGCAGAGTAGAGCCTTTCAGAGGCCCTCTGTGGTAGACTACTCATGGAGATGGCCTGGAACCCCTGTACAGAGGTAGCCTATGGCAGTTCAGTATCCAAGTGGCCTCCATAGTAATGGGGACAGGGACTGTCTCTGACATGAACTGATTGGCCTGCTCTTTGATCACCTCCCCCCAAGGGGGGAAGCAGCCTTACCAGGTCACAGAAGAAGACAATGCAGCTACTCTTGATGAGACCTGATAGACTAGCATCAGAGGGAAGGAGAGGAAGGCCTCCCTTTCAGTGGACTGGGAGAGGGACATAGTTGGGGAAGAGGGAGGGTAGGATTGGGAGGGGAGGAGAGAGGGAAGGACGGGGGGATACAAAGTGAATAAACTGTAATTAATAAAAAAAAGCAAAAAAAAAATAAAGAAGGAACTATGGAAAATCAAGTATGAGTAAAATACAATGAGTAAGGTAATACATTAATTTCAAATAAAAGTTCCAAAGAAAGTATAAAAAAAAAAGAAAAGAAAAGAAAAAAGAAAGATGATGAGGTGACATCGCATACTTAGATTTCAAGGACATGAGCTAGGGCTCCAGGATCCAGGCTCATGTGGGGCCTGCAACCTGGGGCTTCTTTCAGATCCTGCCCCAACAGAGCCTAGGTCCTGGAGAAAGAGTTTTGAGATCAGGCAGTACCAGGCCTTCAGTTGTTTGTGTTATGTGAAAGTGGCTCATTGGTCTGTGCCCTACCCTGAGAGACTCAGAGTACAATGCAGAGGTGGGCTGACTCTGCAACTTGCCATAGACATAGAGAACATCTGTTCTTGCCATCTACAAGGCACCATCTGATAGAAAACTGTTTCTAAACGCAGAAATATGCCATACTATAAAATTGTCAAAAAGAAAATCAACGTTTTAAGAGTTTAAGTAGAACGCAATAAAACTGTATCAGGAATACCGGACCTGTGAACTTTCTAGATAGACCAGACTGAAGAAAGTATGCAACTCCCTTACCTGGACCCTGTAAGGAGGAGGGCACATAAGCAATGACAGTGCTACGAACCTGTCAAATCTGACCACCTATGTTCAGATGGTATTCCTGTCAAGAGAACAATAGGCAGAGAACACCCAGTTGTCCTAGGGTCTTCAGCATATTTCAATTCTTGATGTTCATGTGTCCTGCTAGAGTTGCTGTTCATCTGGTAACTGGCTCATCTACCTGGACCCAGTCTTGCCACTCACTTCTATAGCCTCTAATGACCTGTACCCTTGCACTCTTGTAGCTCAAATATGACCCTGCAGTCTACCTCTAAGGAGGAAGCTGCAATGATTGATCTCAGGCACAAACACCCCACCCTTACCTCATTCCTTATGCTAGTCCCCATGAAGACTTTTCACATCCCTATCAGATTCTGCCTCAAGCCTCTTTGAAATTCTTTGAACTCTGTTGGGACTTATAACTCTTCTGTAGCCATTCTGTAGTACATGTAGAGGTGTATTTCCTGTATGATGTGTAATATATGATCAAATGTTAATTTTGGTAATGTAGATTGGAATAAAAGAACCTGTGCTTGCCTTGGCCAGCTACCACGGAGAGTGAAATTTCTTGGTATGTTGTTGCCAATGAAACCACTGTACCTTGTGAATTTGTTGTTGTCCAGTATGTCCTGACATCGTGTTTACCTCTGTTTCTGACATAGCATGCTCACAACCTAGACACAGGCAACAGTGACTTTCTGTGGAAGTAGCCTGGTCTGCCTGCCCACCATCCTTCAAGTGGAAGGAATATTACAGTGCCTGGGAAACATTTTATCTTTTGTTTTTCAGGTCCTCTCTCTAGCAGAATTCTTCTGGCCGTGCATCCTGTTCATGATTCTGACAGTGCTTCGATTTCAAGAACCTCCCAGACACAGAGAAAGTTGTAAGTTTGCTTTTGAAGACAATTTTTAGATTACAAATGTTCAAAGAAAAAAACATCTACCTTTTTCTGTGTTCTTTACCAACACCGAATTTTCAGTGGGGTGGATGACTAGGGCTCTGTTATGACAACAGCAATATGCTTGAAGAACGTGTCAGGAAAAGGTAATTCAGGTTTCTTCACTGCTTAGGAAAGACATTAGATGTTTGACTGATCTAGCACATAGATTTATCCCTTTACTGGAGCTGAATCGATCTGGCTTGGATGCATAAACCTTTATTCATTTAGAAAGAGCTAGAAGCAGAGGTAAAGGGGCCTTTCATTTTAACATGACATGGTAGTGGCCATGAAGGCAACATTGGAGGTAGAGACTGTGACCACAGACATGTACTAAGGAGCTTAAAATAAGTTCCAGTTCTCCAGAAGCATGGACATTCAAGTCACTTCATCTGTCTGATTTGATAGTCTAGTAGCCATTCCTCTTGGGAAATGGTGACCTGTTTTATTTTGACTCTGCCACGTGAAATGTGTAGTTTGTTTGGCTTTGCCAGCTTCCCACGAGAAAGTGATTATTAGATGTTAGAATTTATATGAAATGGGTTGTCAGTAGTATTTAGGTTTTGCATATTGAGAAGGGAATTGGCCTAATGACTCATTTGTACTTTTGAGGATGGTATTATGTGTTATAGAAAATGACAAAGCCAGGCTATTATCTGAAAACCTTTTTCAGGGTTTTAAAATTTTAACATTTTATTTATTTATTCAACAAATATGTATCTAGGGCCTTCTATCCCTCAAATAACGTTCTAGAAGGCTGACCTATTAGAATACAATGAGAAAAGTGTCATAAGGGACTCCATAGAAGAACAAGTGTAGTCACATTTGGAGACTTGAACCCCTAACCCACCAAATACCCACTGGTGTTTCCTTCATTCTGGATGTGTTCCTGAGAAGGGTTACAGACCCACTCAGAGAAACGTGTCCTTTATTACTGGTGTATTGCTCCAGATTTAGCTATGATCTTGTGTCTTGTGTTTGCAAAGAACTTTACCTTCCCTTAAGCATCAAACACATTCATTTTTTTTCATGCACCCATTCACTCATTCTTGTTTGTTTATTCATTGAGTTATCAAATATTTAGTGAATGTCTTCTGTGTGAAAAACATTGTGCTAAATTCTGTGCATAGTGGGTTTTCAAGTTTGGGTGAAGGAGATCATTCTCTAGACCCAAAGTAGACACCAGGGGGAGAGCTGTTCTCTGGATTTTATGAGCCACAGCACATAGATCAATAGCTTCCCTGTAATTGTCATGGTCTCCATGCCCTATCTTTGTCCATATAAAAGTCAGGCAGGGTTGGGTCATGTGTCATCAGCACTTTATTGATTAAAGTTGGCTCATTATAGGAGTATTTTTCCTGAAATATCTTTCCTATTTCTTCCTTTTTCCCTTTCTCCCTTCTTCTCCCCCTCTTTCTCATTCTTTCTTTATTTTCTCCCTTATCCCCTCTCCTTTTCCTCTTTCCTCCTCTTGTTCTTCCTTCTTCTGAGACTAGGTTTGTATGTATGAGACTGAATGAATGTAGCTCTGGTTGCCCTAAAACCAATTATGTAGACCAAGCTGGCCTCAAACTCCAGAGACTTGTCTGCTTCTGCCTCCCCAGTTCAGGTTTCTGAAAGGTTTTTGATATTATTTGAAGTAGTAAAGTATTTTTGTACTATATAATATTTAGAAATTTCATGTAAATGTTTAAGAGTTCATGTTGACTTTTATCTGAAAGCTTTTTCTCAAACTTGAAAACATTCATTTTATTCTTCCCACTCATGGTTGATTTGCATAGGGCTATGCCAGAGGCTTTACTATATAACAGAAGAGTGGCTGCTGCATGGTAAGGGAAGCTCATTAAACACAGTGAGAGTTATGTCATTCGGCAGTGTGAGTGTACACACTGGGGAGAGTGAAAAGTATAAAAGGGTTTTATACTTTTCTTTTATACTTTCAATTCCTCAGATATCTTTTAAGTTACTAACAAAGTAAATGATACAATGTTATAGAGTCTATACCTGTAGATAATATAATAGAGTAAATAATATAATGTTACAGAGTCTAAATCTGTAGATATCCTGTTTTGTCCTTGCGTGGCTTGGGTCCTGGAACTGTGAGCAAGGGCAGCAAAAGATGAAGAAATGTTACACACAGGTGCAGAAAAGTTGGGGTTGGGCTGTCTGGGCTCTCTGATGGAGAAGCCACATCACCCTCAAATTGCAGCATGTTTGTTATATACAGTTGAATCGGGACATAAATTATTGCATATAGATGAACACATGGTATTATTATACACAGTCAAACGAGGAGACAGTGTTATTACACAGATAAATATGGAGATGTGGTCATTATGTACACATGAACAAAGAGGCAGGCTCAGCTAATCTCAGTAGGAACAGGGTTGTAGGGAAGTAGTCTCCAGGGAGAAAGCTACGGTGGACCCTTTCAACATACACATATGGATCAGAGGAAGGCTTTGCCATTCATCTGAGCCTCAGGTGGGGAAGATGTTGCCACTTCCATGGAGCTGAGTCATGGAAGTCCTTGCCACGACTGTGCCCATGTCAAGCAATACACATTTGCTTAGGACTTTACTTACTCCATACACTCCCCTTTTTCTTATTTCTTAGGTGTTTAGGATGAATCTTTATGCTTAGTGCAGGGGCAGTTCAATGCGGTGCTTGACACCAGGCCACGAGGGTGCTAAGAGGGATCCTACCAGTTGCTATGCCTAACAAAAGCAAAAGGATGTCTTAGCTTGCAAGCTAAAGGGGTTGAGGGCTTCAGCTAGGCAAGGGGAACTTTTGCAGTATTAGCTGGAGAAAGAATCTGATCATAAGCCTTTTTGCTTTTCTATGATGTGCCAATGTAACTGGGTCACATCCATGCTGTCATTATTGTGGTCCCAACACCCAGGAGGTGGGTCTCAATTATTTCCCAATGCATTCGCAATACATGTGACAAATTAAATCTTGTCTAAATTATAGGACTGTAACTTGCCCTGATTAGTTGAATAAATTAGTTGGATTCCATGAACCCCAGGTAGTTAGAGAAATACCCTCCAAAATGGCAGAACTCATCAGTATAAATGGTTGTGGGGGGATATAACCAAGCCATGTGATGAAAACACATGGGCCCAGTGGGCTTCTCTCTTGACCAGTTTTACCTTCACCCAGCTTTTGATAGTGGCTCAAGTAGCCAGCACTCCACCACAAGGTATCCTTCACCTGCTTGTTTTTTTCTTTTCTTTTTTTTTTTTTCTGGATCATTAAGTCATGTACTCATTCATCAATTTTTCTATTTATTTTTTTAAAGTTGACAAATTCATTTTCTTCTTCCCTGAAAACCAAGGGCACACTTCCACAACAAAGCCCAAGAACCAATGAAGCTGCAGCATCTTCACCTTATTCCATATCCAAATCGCCAACATAAAACTACCTGTTTTTCAGTTTTACCTGTTCCAAAAGTAAATACTAACATATAACTGCCTTTCTCTCTATTCTACACATTAACATAACTGTCTAGCTACAGATTCTACCTATTAGCCTGTAATTGCCTATATCTAGATTCTTCTTCTTACATAACCACCTATCTCAAAATGCCATTCCTCTATTTATTCCATTACCCATAGTTCTTTCTTTACTTTATTAGTATGCTTATCATGAGAGCATTCCCTTTTTCTAATCAGTGAAAGCCCTTACAGTCAGTGTCTACTGTTCAGGACTCTGGGCACCCCCTTTTATATACTCCATGGCTCCAGGAACTGACCTAACCAGAACAGCAAGGGAATAAAGAAAGAACAAACACAAGGACACATGGATACAGAAAAGCTGGGTTCTGGTGCTCCGGGGTCTTGGCTGAAGAAGCCACTGTCCCACACAGAAGCTGAGCATATTATCACATACAATTGTGAGGGAGGCAGTGTCATTGCACATAGCACCTTACTTTGGGCAATAGGTGTCAGGACTAACTTCTTCCTTGTGTTTATGTCCAGGTTACTTACAAGCCCGGGACCTACCCAGCCGGGGTGTTCTCCCTTTTGTTCAAGCACTTCTTTGTAACACTGGCTCAAGTTGTAGAAACATCAGCTTTGAGAGTTCCATGGATCACCATTTCCGGTATGAGAAATACAAACATCCTTTTCAGAATTCCTAGGATGGTTTTATATGCTGCCTCTCACCCCAAAGCCCCCATTCTATCATGCCATGTGCTTTTAATTCATGCTTAGTAATCTATATATGTCAGGGACAGTAAAAAGTCAGATTTCAGAGTTAAAAACAGTTTAAGTTTTATTGCTCATATTCACATAGCAATCACTCCTACGGATGTCCACTGTGCTTCAAGACACAGCATATTAAATGTTGATGAGAAAAAAATCTATCTGCACTTAATTAGTTCCTGTAGTCAAACTCTGACTTCAGAATTACTTGCTTAGTCAGTTTCTCAGTTGGGTGTAGTTAGAAATGAGTGGTTTAGGGCTACCTGCTGGGGTTCTTACTGTGCTACCAGTTGACCAAGCTCTTGTGCCAAGTTGTGATCAGGTAAAAGAGCAGCCCGTCATCACTCTCCGCTTTGCACTAACTCTGTCAAGATGATCGACGGCTTCACTACCTTCTCAGATTCTCACAACACTGAGCTATCTTGAGATAGCCCATGGCCTTATTTGGTATTGCTAATCAAGAGACAAAGCAGGACTTGGTTCAAGTGACAAAACTCAAAACTAAGAGGTTTAACTTGGAGAATCCAAAATGATCTAGGAACTTTTCTGAGGTGGAATAGTTGATAATCATGTCTTGCATTTGTCAGGTTGCAGGCTGTGCAGTTGAATTAAACAATTAAGAAAATGAAGATTTTTAAACAAAGTGAATGTTCAAACTGAAGATATTTATATCTTTCCACCTTAGATTTTTTAAATTTTATGTGTGTGTTTTGCCTGAATGCACGTATATGCACTTTGTGTGTACCTGGTGCCAACAGAGGACAGAAGAGGGTGTTGGATCCCTTGGAACTGAACTTACGGATGGTTGAAAGCCACCATGTAGGTTCTGGGAAACAAATCCAAGTTTTCCGTAAGAGTAACAAGTGCTCTTAACTGCTGAGCCAGCTCTCCACACCCATCTTTTCACTTTAAATGGAATGCTTTCAGATAATTTTAGACATAACAGCTACAGTATTTATAAGTGGCGCTGTTTATGTAACAAAATATCCTAAACTGGATAATAGGTTTGCAGAAACACAAAAAGAGTACACACTGATTCCTCACAGTTCTGGCTACTACGAGATCTAAAAATGAAGTTCCAGTGTTTGGTAAGGATGTATTGCTTACACAAAATGCTTACAAATAACACCTAATGGTGGAAAGTCTAAGGGCTGTCTCTGGAGCCTAATTTACCAAAGCACTAGGCCTGGTTACCACATCTCCTCCCTCATGACCAATTTTTCTCTCCTTCTAATATCATCTTAGTGGCTGGGTAACTACCTGAAGTTATAGGGCAAAGATGCTATTACTGAGTCCTTTGTAGGTGCTTGCTTTTCTGAGATGGGTGTATAAAATTACAGGAGACTCTCTTGAAGTTGTATAAATACTAGTCCCCTGCCTCACAGTGAATGCTAAGACTACATCTGTATTCCATGACGCCTAGGCATGAAATATTTTTGTTGTATTTTGGTTTATTCTTTAATTAGCTTACAAAGTTAACAGCTTTTCTTACCACATTTTCATGCATGATTACTTTTTTTTTAAATTTTTTTTAACACGATTACTTTTGATTGAACTTCCTCCACCTCCTAGTATAGCTTGTCTCTCCATCCCCGTTTGCACTCTCCCACAACCTACAATTCCCCTTTTCACTTCAATTTTATGAGGGTTTTATTATCTTCCCACCTCTCTCCCTTAAGGCCTCTTCCCTACCTCTGTGAGACCCTTTCTAATTTCTTGGCATCTTTCTACACCCTCCCCAATAAAAATACACAAATATTAAAAAATGTAAACATGTGATGGAGAAGATGTGATGCTTTTCTTTCAGAGCCTGAGTTAGCACATTTATTATGTTTTCCAGATCAATGTATTTTTCTACAAATTTCATGATTTAAATTTTCTTTATGTGTAAATAAAATTCTACCCTGTATATGACTCACATTTTCATTATCCATTCATCTGCTTATAGACATCTAGGCTTATTCCATTTCCTTGATAGATTGAGCAGAGCAACAATAAACATAGATACAGTGATGTTTTGGGTTTATGTATAGGAGGTGTTTTTTGTTGTTTTGTTTTTTGAGAATCTTCTACACTGATTTTCAGAATGGCCATACCAACTTACACTCCTACTAATAGTGAGTGAGAATTCTTTTTTTTTCCCTCACACATGTCAGCATTTGCTGTCTTTTTCTTTTAATGCTAATTATTCTGATTTCGTGACAGAATCTCAAAGTAGTTTTGATTAGCATTTTTTTTAATGGTTAAGGGTGTTGGAAACTGAAAAAAATATCTACTAGCTTCTTTTTTCTTAAGAACTCCCTGTTGAGAAGCCTGCATGGGACTGACCTAGGCTGCACATGTGTTACAGCGGTGTAGCTGGATCTTGTTAGACTCCTAGCAGTGGGAGCAGGAGCTGTCTCTGACTCTATTGTCTGCCTTCCGGACCCTTTCCCCTACAGGGTTGCCTTGTCTAGCCTTAACAGAAAAGAAGGTGCCTAGCTCACTGCAATATGATGTCATGCCTGGTTGATTTTTCTGAAGAGAAATGGAGATGGATAGACAGGAGGCTGGGGAAGGGGTGGACTGTGAGGAGAGAAGGGGAGGAAAAACTGTGATTGGGAAGTAAAGTAAGTAAGAGTAAGTAAACAAGTAAATAACTAACTAACTAGTCAAAGACCAGCTTGGACATCAACCAGGGAAATAGGCAGGCTGTAGATCTGGCAGCTGGTCACCCAGCAGACTTTCTCTGAGGGTAATTTTTCAGGCTGGATCTGATTGTTACAGTGGCTTCCACTGATAGTGGCAAGCTGTGGGGGCAGAATTAAATTGCTGGCATTGGGCCAGTGCTGGGAGCTTCCTGGTGTGCGCTTACAGCCATTGCAGTAAGCGGGAATTAGGGCTGTTAGTTCTAGTGGAGGCTTCCACAAGTATTTAGAAAAGAAAGAAAAGAAGGAAACACACACACACACACACACACACTCACACACTCACACACTCACACACTCACACATTCACACGTTGGCAATGGATTCCAACCCAACCTTATACATATACACGTGCTCATACACACATTTTGGTGTATGGAAAACTATTCCAAGCATTCTAGCTACTGTACATATAAACATATATACATGTATACATTTGATGGATGGAACAAACTCTGAAGACAGACTTCCAACAACATTTATTATTCTTCCCATAGTTTATATATCCCAGCAAGATCTTTAAACAGTACAAAAATCAGAATGTGGCTACAGTCTATTTTTCTTTAAGTGATCTGTTACAATGAATATACATTAGAAAAAACATGTTCCCCAATACCCTCACATGATGAAATGTTTTATGTATTATGAGTGACAAACAAATATGAAGAAGAAGTTATTTCCAACCTGTATACATCTGTAACTAAACAACTTGTTATATATTAACAAAGTCTGAGCAAGTAAAGTAATTTCTCAGCCAGGCTGCAATTTGCAGTTACAGAGAAAGAATCAATCTCTTAAGAGGCAATCTTATAAAAAATCTTAAAAAATTACAAATCTAAACTTGTATTTAAAAAACAATCATCCATTTCCACTCTAAATCTTTAAGGTTCACATAAACTCATCACAGTTTCTTCAGAACTTTTATCATGAAGAGATGGTAAATTGTATCAAAGGCCCTTTTTTATAAAGGTCATGTGATTTCCTCATATATGTGATGGATTTCAGTTAGAGATTTATATGTATTGAACCCGTACCTCCAAAATAAAGACAACTAAATTTTGATGAATATTTGATGTACTCTTGAATGTAGTTTGCAATTGTTTTGTTGAAAATTTTTGTGTCTATGTTTGTCCAGGAAATTGGTCAATTTTTATTTTATTTTATTTTTGTTTTTACCTGGTTTTGATTAAGATAATACTGTCTTATTGTGAGATTGACAGCCTTCCTTCCTTCCTTCCTTCCTTCCTTCCTTCCTTCCTTCCTTCCTTCCTTCCTTCCTGTCTTTTTTATGGACTAGTTGGAGAAGTATTAGTGTTGATCTGGTAGACTATTTTTTTAATGCCAAGAAATAACCAGTCTTTTTTTTTTTGTCTTTGTTTGTTTGTTTGTTTGTTTTGGTCTGTGTGCTCCTCTATTTTAACTCTCAGATTCTAGTTTGCAGGAACTTGGAGATTATAAAGTCAGCCTTATAAGTGTTCATCTTATACTCTCAAAACCATAGTCAGTTGTAAAATTTTTCAGCATTACTAGGATTTTAAGAACTGAGACTAAAATGCCTCTTGGTTTTGAGGAGGTGTGGGAAATGTAAGATGAAAACAGAAAGAATAGAAAAAAGGGTGAGAAAAGAGCAAATTGTGAGAAAGAAACAAGCTCTGAGAAAGAACCTCGCTTTCAGATCTCCCTTGTTTTCATGTTTCTTCAAGTGTGAATTCTGCAGGCGTTCAAAGTAAAAATAATAATAATAATAAAAAAGCCAAACAATAGCAACAAAACCCATAACAACTTCCTTCTGACTGTCTTAGTTTACAAATACCTGAAAACATGTTTTCATTTCAAAGCTAGTTAGATATCACATGGTTAATTTGCTTCATGAATGGCCAGGATCTTCCTAATCACCTGGAGGAAGCTTACCTTGGGCAGAACCTCCAAGTACATTCTGAGTGGAGTACAATTATGAAAATTAGCTTCCTCATTCCTGGCTTTGTAGGGAGCTTCCCCTCTGCTCCAATAAGAGGATTTCAGAGCAAAACCACGGTTATTACCATCAGCAGATTAAGGGGATATTCCCACAGAGTGTTTCATGAGAGAATCACCCCTAGTTCACGACAAAGTGAATAAAAGCAAATTTGCAATGCTCTGTGCGTCTGATCCCTCCTCCTGCCAATCACCTTAAGAGGTTAAGAGGCAGGTTGAAGTCAGCCCAGCCAGCACA